TCAAGTTTTTCTCCAATGGTCAAGTATTTTTTTAAGTTTATCGCGAGTTGACTTACGGGTTCATAAGATACCTCGGTTACATTTTCAGGATAGATTTTAAGAGAAAATTCTCTCTGTGTAGTAAATTTTCAGCTAATAACTTTGAGAAAATTTTCTTTTAAAATTTATCCCGAAAATCATGCAATCGTGGGACAACATGGCATTTTATTATGGAGAACTTTACGAGATCTTTTAAATTTTACTAGTAAAATGTATGGTAAAATTTCAAAAACTCTCATAAAATTCTTCGAAATGCCATGTTGTCTCACGATCATGTGATTTTCGGGATAAATTTTAAAAGAAAATTCTCTCCGTGTATTTTTGCGTACCACAGGATGCAACGGAAACTAATCCTTTCTGCAAAAGGTAGAGCTCCGCGGCGTTAAACAAAAAATTGTTTTGCGAGTACGAACAAGTGCTTTTGAGATGACGAAGCCGGGCCCGAAGAGCAGCCATGCGCGTCAAAACGCCTTTGTCGCAATTTCTGCGACCGGTCATAACCACGCGCGACGCGGATACTTCTTTCTTTCTTTCTTTTTCTCTCCCCTTCGTTGTCTCGCCTCAAATAGCTTCTACGAATCCCTGCCCGGACGATTACGAGATTACATTCGCGGCGCGAACCGCGACCTCACGAATTTCGAAATTCAGTCGCGGGATGTCGGATTCTTCCAGGAAAAGTTTGACGACTGTCCATCGCCGTGAGCGAGCGAGGAAACATGACACGAATCAAGAATTCGGAAGACTTTGGAAAACTCGTCCTGTAAAAGCACAAATTCAGATCCCACGCGAGAGAGAATCTAAGGGAGAGCTTCAACTCCGAACTGAAAAGCGATTTACCTCGCAGTTTATTGTGGCATCGCGGAATTATTCTTCATTACCTTAGAACAAAAACGGCTCATAGGATGGACTTGTGGCAATAGTAACTTTCCGTCAGCATCACTTGAAGTACAAAATGGCAAAGATTTCAGTCAATCCCAATCCAATTTGAGTCTGCAATTGCTAGTCTGATTCGGCCGTAAGGAGATCCTAAAGACGTCTGTTTTATCGACATTCTTTGTTAGAAGTAATCTTTTAATTGGCTTTATAGAAATGCAAAGCTCTTTTACGGAATTAAAGTACGCAGCAAAATCTAGACAATGCTGATCGACTTTATATAAAAATGAAAAAAATTAAGTTTTACTAATTTGAGGTTAATTGACGTTGTTAATTCCGTCTCCTACCTTATCGACATTGATCGAGTTCGCCAGCGGCTGTAGGATCCCAGACCGATGTAAGAACCGTCGACGCGGCGACATTTCGGCGTCCGTCGTTGCTCCGAAACGCCCTGTATACGTCGACCGATTTGCGGTTTGGGAAAAACGCGCCGGCGGAATGACCGTGCGGAATTTGACACGCGTGACGCCGTTGCGCCGCGCGTAGACCCGATCGGACGATCTCGTTCGCGTCATAGTCGGGCGAAGTCATATAATTACCGGGCGCGATCGAAGGATGTAGAACGTCGCGCGAAAAAGTGCGCGTGACCGACTCGACCCGTCGCCGTCGTCGTCCCCGTCAGCGCCGTCCTCGTCATCGTCGGGAGAAAGAAAGTGGCTGTATACGAGCGCCGATCCCGCATTCGGTGGATAAAAAAGAAGGCGGTCGACGACGAGTTTTCGCCATACCGGTGAAAAACAATCCGGCAGGACCAGCTCCGATTACTCCAAGATATTCCTTAATGATATTCATGCGTTTCTTATCGAGCTGTTTGGCCCGAATTCTCCTATTTTTCTTTTTTTAAATCGATTAATATTGAAAAAGCATTAATATCGCTGCTTCGCACTCGGACGCAAAATTACAATTACGATAATTATAGAGTCTTCGAAAAGACATAAGAAGAAGGAGAGAAAAAATGTAGAAATAACTGTAGGCAGAAAATAAGTACCTATATAAAATGATGTAACATTGTTGAAGAGAAAGATCAAATAAATTACGTGAAGAAACGAGATTAGGAAAAATTGCTGGAATTTTACATATTTATCGCGCGTAATTTCAATATAATAAATTGTGAATAGTTTTTTGTTTGTTTCAAGAGACGGGTTTGGATTCAGATTCGCAAGTTTAAGTATTTAAAACCGAGCGAATTATTCACGCATTATTAATTAAAAAATTATTTGTTTAAAAAGACATAAAAATGGTGCCAGGCGTACGCGTAAAAACCTGTTACCGTTACACTAAACTTCAAATTTAGATTTTAATGTATCTTGAAAAATTTTGTTCAAAATTATTTGATGTAAGTGAAATAATCTGTTTTACAAATCTGTATATATTAATTAAATTAACAATTGTTTCGTACGTTTCGGAAATTCCTCAGACATTTGCATCTTTAAGAAGTTCTAGCGAGTTTCGACCGGAAACGTCAGTGAAGCTAATTATTATCTTAACTTTATTCATTCGAATTACATTAATTCCTTACCATGACTTGACTTCTTGTCAAAAGTCTTGAATTTTATACACGAACTATTGTGTCCGTTCTTTGTCACAGCCTTTTGTTAACGTATATTCTTATATACGTTTTTAATTTATTTTCTTGAAGTACGTTATTTTTTTACCCTAAAGTGATAACTTCTTATTTTTATTTTTACTTTTATGTATTACGATAAAATCTTAATTATCGCTTCACTAGTATTAATGTGAATTTAAAATTGTACTGAAGAAGGCTTGTTAAAGCCGAAACATTTATTACTTAATTGCTCGAGTCAATTATTAGAGAATAAGGAATAGAATAATGTTCGAAACTTCCTAGTGTGCAATTCCCTAGCGGAAAAATAATTGTGTAAATAACTACAAAAAAATTATCTTGAAATAGAAATTTGTAGTTTTTATATCTTTGTTGAAACATTTTTTTTTTGTAAAAATTCTACGAAACAGTATCACAAATTACAATGTTCTCAAATCAAGAAATTATTGCAAGTAGTATTTCATGAAAATGTACAGTTTTGTAAAAATTAGTACAAAACTTTACTTGTTTTAAAAATTTGAGAAACAACAAAATCTTAAAAAATTAAAAAATTTGCTTGCTTGTAGAATATTACAAAAATTAACAAAAGTGTTTCAATCCTAGCATTTTCATGTTGATTTTTATAACACTTTTTAAATCGACATAGAATTTCTTAGATTCTGGCAGTTATATTTTAGTTTTTGTAGCATATGTTATTTTTTTTTGTAGAATTTTGTAGAATTATTTCCAGCAGTGTTGGTCTTGATTCTCCCCTTTTAATCTTATTCGTGGGCCAATCTGGTCGTAAAAGAAGCGAGACCATGCACACGGATAATATTTGCGTACGTGTTAATTCACTCATGACTCGCTTTCGTGGCTGAAGACTCGTGGTTGACGTACATCCACGATTCGAATGATGTAAAATAATACGGACGGTTTTTCCAAAGTGAAATACATTGTCAACAGTGTAAGGAATTCACATCGAATGACGCCATTCGTCATATCGCGTCACACGCCCACGGCTAACGTATTCGGACACGAAAAAAAGAAGCTGGGTTCGCCGGTGCGATAATAATTGCTAATTTTATGCAGCCGAAGATGAAAGACGCGCGACCTCGGGACAACGCGAAGAATCTCGCGAATCTCGTCGAACAAACGACCATAAACTATCGTCGTTAAACTGTACCGATCTCGATAGCGCCTTCGAAGTTATCTAACAGTTTTGCTACGTTCTTTTTACTTCACGCGAAAAGAATCTTCATCGTTCATTCGTGAAGATTGGAGTGCGAAATCTTTCCTTCGTAGCATAATCATTTATCGAAATGCAATCGACGGTCAATCCGCTTTTCGATTTTCTGCTCGATTATTCTTCAAGTATCAATCGTGAGCATGCAATCGGATATGCGTATTCTTCCATTACGCTCGAGAGAATAAAGCCTACAAAATGTGCTATGTGCTCTCTGCATCTAGAAACATTCTACTTTAACAATATAACAATGTAAACAAATTAAAACGTTTGAAAAATTTGTCGACCATGTACGATTGTACGACGTATACAATTTGTCAACTTGCACAAATTTTGTAAACGTATCTATTGACTACAAAATGGCACTGGGTTGAGGTGTAATATCTTCTCGCGATAAATTTATAATAAAATTACTTAGACACTAACATCCTGTCACGGCTCCGAGCCCTTTTCTTTCTTCGAATTTTTGTTTAACATATCCGAGCCTTTATGGATTTGTTAAGAAAATGTTTCCAGACACAAAGAGCACGTTGTAGAACAGGCTTAAGCGTAAGCTTTTATCATTCAAAATGGAACAGGCGAAAGAACGAGAGAGGAAAAAAAATCTAAAGACGTACGGGCGCAACAAGCTGAAAAATCTAAACGAAAACGAATATAGATGAAGATGCAACCAGTCTACGAGTGCTTCTAGATTGGCGTTTCCAAATGGAATTCGCCGAAAGGCTTTTCTAAAGACGACTTAATGTTTCTTCGAGGAAGAGCGCGCGAGTCTCTCCGCGTCTCTCACGGATCTCGAATTCGCTCATCTCCTTCTCGCTGTCTCGTAATACGCCAAGGACTCGGGAGCGCGAACCAGGACGAACTCGCGTTCGTCCGTGTTTCTGGTATCTCGTACCGCGTCGCATGTTACATGTGTACGTGCGTGCGTTCCACGTGACGCAATCGGGATGCCAACGGCTGCAACAGATCCCGGGATGCTCGTGTTTCGCGGATGCTACCGGCTACCTAACGGTCGCCGATACACAAAGCCAGACACGCATGCACGCGCACACGTGCGCGCGGCACAGGACGAGCAGAAACGGCGCCCAGAATGACGTCAAGTCTGGTGAATGGATTTCAACCTCGAGAATTCAGCTTGCCGATCCGACCAATGGGGGCGCAAGCTGCCGCACGCGAAAATCTCTCAGGTCGATTAAACAGTTGCCACAAGAAATTTTCATGCGCCACGCGACTTCTCGATAACTAAGATTGCATTACCTTAAATACTTCCACCGGAGTTTTTTTTTAAATAAAACTAGTAAGGTGTACTTGATAGTAAATGCTTCTTCTAACAGTTTTATACACTTCTTTCTTCAGAGTTGGTACAGCCTACCATCGATAAAAGTGATAAACTTCGTCATTTTGATTATACTGGAGAATCAAAATTGCTGAATTTTTTTAACAGAAAAGAGTTTCGCTATAAAACAAATTGACGCTACGCTACAACTAAACGTAGTATTGTCTTTGCGTGTACACACATCTCTACGACTTGACTTTCTTCGTTAGCTTCCCAATATAGTGCCGCAGAAAAGTATATTGCGATAGAGTCTGTCGTAAATTAGGCAGATACATGAGGAACGCGTTTCTATATCACTCACGTTGATCGCGTTGTATTCGCATAAATCGTCGGTGATGAATGCGTTGCTAGCGGTCGCAGTGAGACTGGTCCTCGTCAGCTCGATCTTGACTCGATGTATTGCGGTACCAATACTGAGGCTGTGGGAAGAGAATTCGTGCAACTCGCCCATGTTGGACGACATGAATTTCTGAAGACCCAGCATGTCTAACAGCCTTTTCATATCGAAACTTAGCTCGACATTGAATACCGGAAACCGCATATCTGTTTGCTGCTCTAATCCAACGTCCATCAACCTGCGAAGTTCCCGAGACCCCTCCTCGGTCGTCAGTCGCTTTATCAATTGGGCAATTCGGTCGCTTTCTGTAGATTTATCTTTGACGGATTCCGAATGACACGATGGGTAGATAAAAAATGTCGATATCTTTTTTTCGTTGCAAGGTAACTCAGTAATATATGCGTCTAGTCGCTCGGACTTGCCTGAAAAAAAAGAAACGAATTAGAAACAGAGGAAGATTAACAAGATAAAATAAAATATTGAGCATTTACTAAGTTTCTTATCAAATGTCGGATTTGCATAAGATATTTTCAAAAATTTATGTAATGCTTCTCACGTTTCTTGAAAAACGGAGAGCTTTTCGAAATTTTCATCAAATTGTAAAAAGTATGAAAGTAAAAGACATTAAAAATACATTTTTGCTCGATTTCCAGCATTCATGTAAAAATGTCTTGTAAAATAAAATACATAATATTTTGTTTCTAATTCATTTAATAGTTATATTATTATTAAAGGTAATGATAAATGAACGAAACGAAATTATATATATAAAGTGACTAGTGACCATTATTCAAATTTGTGTCCGTAGAATTTTTTGTTTTTTTGTTTTTGATTCTCTTGCGAACACTGGCGTCAGGCGTCGTGTTGAGTTCAAAGTTGCAGTCTAATTCACTCTGAACGTAGATCACGTTGAACAGGATTAAGTCGGTGTTTTCATCGATACTGTCTGGAGGTAGCATTTCTTTTATGTGTCTCTGCGACAGTACCGCAACACAATTGTTTACGAAATCCCTCGTAATATGGGGACGATAATTGAAATTAACCTCCTTCGCAAAATGCTCAGTTTCAAACAAGTTCAATGTCCTGAGAAATATTTCTCTTTTTTCACTAATAAGAATTCTACCGAAGATACGACATGTGTAGGAGCTTGCGGGTTTATTAAGCTAAAACGAGAAAATTAAAAAGTTAAATAACATTCTCTCTTTCTCTTTTCTCTCTGAAACAGTAAATGTTCCTCGCATCTTGTATTTATATCGATATATATATATATATTATACATTTAAGTTATCATCGTGTTGGGTGAATTTACTGAACTTTTATCTAATTAATAAATATGTGCATTCCTCCTGTACGATGACACCAGGCGTATCGAAAAGAATTACTTACTGCGTAACAAAACTGCTTGATTCCTCCAAGAACATATTGTTGTTCGACGTCGGCTTTAGAAAGGTCACTGGGAATATAGAGGGCTTTTTCAAGTGTCAGTTCGTCATCCCCATCGTCGGAAACCCCAAAGTACACCACGAGTAGGTTGTGGTACACGAGGTGTGGGCTAAAAAAAATGTTATTTTTCGGCTCCGTCAATATGCACATCTTCAGGCTTTCGAGGGCGAATTTGAAGCGCGCTTCTGTCAACATCTTTAAAAAAAAAAAACATGTGGAAGTTGTCCACAAATTTAGTCCCTGCACATATAACATTACATTTTAAAAATCACACACGAGCATATCGGAAATGATATAAAAATGGATTGGGAGAAATAAAAGATCGCAAATGTTAGTACATAATTGATATGCGTGGACGCATGCATTGATAAGAAACAAACGGAAAAGTAACACAGATGAAAATGTATAGAGGAGAGTCCTGTATTACGAGATAGATTTCTAATATGAGATAGCGGGCTTTTAACACCCAAATTCAATCACAACCATTACACAATCTAACAATGAATCTTCCACTAAACAGATTTCGTTCGAAGGGCAACAAATTCAAGGTGGAATCAACCGATGATGTCTATTAATTTAACAGAAACCCCGCTTATCCTATATTAGGTTCCTGTCTCATAATAGGGGATTTTCTTCTGCATATAGTGCAACAGACGTTTCGCTTGCTAGAATTGGCAGCAATATAGCGTACCTTTGTAGCAATCCTTTGGCTGTCGACGCGATCCCAACACGAGTTACGAAGTTTGTCAATTTTTGTCACTGGCCAGAAAAATATTTCTTAATCGGCGAAATTGTCAGCGAGGCACAATGACGATTGTCTACTCGGTTTGCACTGTAAATGAGGCGGCGAGTTTTCCGGATCCGATGTAAGAATATACAAGACAGCCAAGTTCAACAGGTGTTATTATATGTTTACTAACACGCGTTATGAGAACGCGGCGGCTACATGAAAACTGGAAAGAAAAGATAACAAATCCGATACCTACGCGGAGAGAATTTTCTCTTAAAATTTATCCCGAAAATATCACGTAATCGTGGCATTTCGATATATCTACTTACCTAATATATCTAATAACATATATAATTACCAAATTAATAAAATTCGTATGGCTCAAATGTGATAAACACAAATTTGAAGGAATAAAGGACTAAGAGCCATGACAAGGTGTTAGTGTCTAAATATTTTATTCTAAATTTATTGCGAAAAAGTATCACCTCAGCCAGGGTTTGAACCTGGGGCCTCCCTCTCGCTAGACGGGCGTCTCAACCAATTCGACCACCGAGGCATATGGCAAAATCCATCGCAATAAACAGTCTAATGTTGATTCCCAAATGCCACCTATCGTGACAGTATTCGAAAACGAGAACTGCGCGCCGACACAGTGCAATCATCCCTACACACTGTATCCCCATTATTACCCTCCCACCCGACTAAATAATTAAACGAAAGAAACTTTCGTTACGACATGTGATCAATAAAATATACAATAAGTGAATTGGGACCGATATAAATCTAATATAATTAAGTGGGGAATATTGTTTCGGTCAGGCTGGATCTTTGTAGATTTAATAATAATATTTCTGAGTCAATTTTCTATGCTTTCTCCAACCCAGTGAACTGCGCACTGATCATTTGTGGGTCTTAAAACATAGCTGTTTGCCGGAGCAGTAAATCCGTGTATTTTAAGTCGAATAAGCGATTTAATTTCTAATGCTAATAAGTAGGGCCGGGACGTTTGGGCCGGTTTCTTGGTGCGCGCGCTGAGCACCACTGCGTGCGAGCGAGTCGCGCGCTCGCTGAAGTGAGACAATAACATTTCAATCGTCTTTCTTCATCGACCGCCGAATCTTCTCGAGAAATATTGCTGTCTCACTTTAGCGATAATCTGACTCACTCGCACCCCGCGATACTTACTGAAGAGAGGTAGCAACACTTTTCGGAGAGATCTATTTGAAGAGACGCTCCTGAATAGTTCGAATCGATGAGCTCGATTGGCGTGCGACCTGAACGTACACCCCACACAGCACCGAAATATTTCAGAAAGCTCTCAAAAAGCTGTCAATGAAATATGAAACCTTTCAAAAAAATATTTCAGACATGTTTCAGATACATGAAATGTCCGCGTAGATAAGATATCATAAATGTTTCTGAAATATTTCTGAAATGCTTCAGAAATATCTCTTGAATGCTTCGAAAATATTTCTGAAATGCGTCGGAAATATTTCTAAAATGTTCAGAAATATTTCTGAATGATTTCTATATTACATTTCAATATTAATTTCCAAGTTATATGTTGGATAGCTTTCAATAATATATGTTTTAGAGATTACGTACGAAATATTTCTTTGAAATGTTTCGTAATATTTCTGAGAAATAGAAACATTTATAGAAATAGAAAAATAGAAACATTTCTCTCAGAGAAATATTTCGTAATATTTCTGAAATATTTCAGTGAGAAGGATTCAATAACATATTTCAATAAACTATGTTTTAGAGATTACGTACGAAATATTTCTCTGAAGTGTTTTGTAATATTTCTGAAATATTTCAGTGAGAAGAATCATAAATGATTTCGATATAACGTTTCAGAAATACTTCTGAATGATTTCAATATTACATTTCAATATTAATTTCCAAGATATCTTTTGGAAAGCTTTCAATGACATGTGATTTTGATGAAACGTTTCAAAGACATTTCTGAATGATTTCAATTTTACATTTCAATATTAATTTCCAAGTTACCTTTCGGAAAGGTTTCTGAAACTTGTTTTGCTGTGTGGGACACATATGCGCATAAAGCGCAGAAAGGATTTTTCCATTAACAATGAGACTGATAAAATTATGATTATAAGTTACAATTCAGGGGCTCGATTCTTGAATTTATTCGAAGGAGAAACGTATGCGAAAATTCTGCTCTTACAGAAAAGTTGCAAGTTGATTGGCTACTCGCATGGCTTTAGCCAATAGACTTTCAACTTTTCTGTCAGAGCAGAGTTTTCCTATACGTTTCTTCTTCGAATAAATTCAAGAATCGGGCCCCTGCGCGCGACTTACTCGCACGCAGTGGTGCTCCGCACCAGAAAACTGCCCAGACGTCCGTTCCTACTAATAAGCCTCATGATTAGGTCACGGTAAAGAATTTAATGCGAGAACCATCACCTCGGCCAGGGTTTGAATCTGGACCTTCCTATGATCCGTGGACGCATGCCTTTACCAATTCATTCACTGAGAATGAGTCAAGGCATCCATCATGAATAATGTTGTATCACATAATATTTAAATTGGAACATAATATTCACTTTCTACATATATTGTACTTTGAAACTTACCATGTATCGCCGATTCTTATCGATCCAATACCGTTTTTCATTTGACTTCTCTATTCATGCGTCGCATATTTGTTAAATATGTATACATATGTGTACGTCATATGCATTTGTTTCGGTCAGCATGCACGCATCAGCATGTGATAACCATATACCTAACCTTTAATCTACGACACACACGCGTGATTACTGCGTTTTATGACTGTCCTAGGGCGTCCCTACGCTAGGATTCGTTCGCTCGCCCCAGCGCCGAGCTGGGGGGATAAAGAGTCCCCAAAATTCTTGATTTTAGCGCTACCTAGAACCACGACGACGACGTAGCAGAAGAATGGTTTCGCTTTTTTTTTTGCTTTATCATACATTTAAGTTCACTTATTTTTTCAAGTTTTAATATCATTTTTAGCTTTATAATTTTTCACTTCTCATTTTTTATTTGTATTTCTTTTTATATTGTCAACCAAGGATATAAAATATTATTTATATCTTTTTCTTAAGTTTTAATAATGCATTTAAAATGAGATTAAAATGAGTGAAAATGAAACAAAAAAGGAAATTTTAAAATTATTAGGGTCGAAACGTTTATTAAAGAGACATTTTCTTTCTGATTTGTGAGAACCAATTTCCGTTCATTTCGTGGCTCACATTGGCACTCTTTCCTTTCTACATATTTTCTTTTTAGGAGCCTTCACGACACTTTGGAATATTAAAAAATTATGTTTTCTGCAGCCTTAGCCTTTTTGCGAATACTTCTGTAATACCCTCATTG